TTTTTTTTTCCCTTGTTATTGTTTGTTTTTTCTAGCCTTTTGATTTGTTTCGTTTGCTGGAGACTGATAATTTGGTTAGTTGTAAACAAGGGCTGACTCAAGTTGATTCGTAGCAGAGAAATTAGATGTTCATTCAGGTAATTAGGAGTTAAGTTAAAGGGGAATTTCCGAATGTCGTTTGCATCGTTTAGGTCACACTTGTTTGAACAATGAATGGGCTTTGATTGTTTGAATATGATTGTTTACTGACTTCAAATTTAAGAATCCATAGCCAGCGTACGATTTAAGTGATGTGGGCGACCACTTCCTATTTAAATATGAATCCGTATTTTCTCGCAAATTGTTGGATATAGTTTCTGAACATTATAGGCAATTACCGCACGGTGAAACTGCTGCTGAATCATTTCCGGACATTATAGTAACTTATGAGTTATAGCTTCTTCATTAGTCTGAACCAGTCCAAATTGCTTTGCGAGACCTAAATTAGAATAGCTGTGCTTCAAATAAAATCAGGTGCCTTGACTGACTGTTCTTTTTGATTGCTGTATTTGCTGGACTGGTGCTTCTATAGTCTTATTGAAAAGATAATATTTTAATTATCACTAGCAACTCACGTGACCCCTAAAGCAGACTACCAAGAGTTTTAGAAATCAATGTGGCAGTTGTTTCATCAGTTGATGTTTTTTTAGTGTGATAGTGTTTCTTTGATGCTCATGCCCAAGCTGGTTGTTAGAATCGGACATCTTTTTTTTCTTAGCAAGGTATCATAACAGTTTTGGCCCATCTAAACATCTTCAGCCTCTGTCACTGAAGCTTTGGGATGCAATTTTATGGAAAGTTATTATCTCTTTGTAATCTGCTCATGTAATCTCTGTGTTTGATTCCTCTATTTCACCACACACATTAGCACCAAGGACTCTAGGTTCAATCTCGAGATTATAACGATCTTGATGGAAGAAATTTCAGATCAGTGATAGTTCAGAACATTGATTACCTGCCCACCAAAATGATCAATGGTAGAGTTCTTCTTGAACTATGCAGCATCAATGACTTGGGATAAACTTGTAAGCCTAACTGCAACATTTTCCTTCTTTCTATGCCAAGAACTCTCCTTAGTCTCTTCAATAACAGATAGTTTAATGGATGTCCTTATCTATCTCATGTTTTCACATGAGTAATCAATTTCTCCCCCCATGATAAGATCACACGAGTACTTATCTGTCTCATGTTATCCTTAAACAGAATAAAATTTGCACTAATTTTGTTATTTTCTGGGCTTGAGTAATAAAAACCAAAAGTTTTTAACTGGTAAAGGAATCTAGTCAGAACTTACACCACTACTGTTTTAACTCGTAAGATTAGGAAATTGATTTGGAAAAGGAAATAGCAAGATTATATCAGAATTCAGACATTCCGATTTGTGGACACCAACTTATATTTAATCCTACAAGAAGATGCTGCTCTTACCAATGTGAAAAAAGCTGTGCTATTTTTAGGTTGACCCGTCTTCTTCTACGATAAGATCATATCCAATACTTTTGAATTAATCCAACTGAGGGAAACTCTTAAGCATGGAATTTGATTACTAGATCTACTTCTATAATCTACAACTGTATCGGTTGAGATTATCACGAGACCGGTTTCCACATTTTGCACTCTAAAGAAAGAAATTGAAGAACTTACACGAATATGTTTCCTAGATTGGTACTCAGTGCAACTAGTAAGTTTTTGTTTCATCTCAGGCTGAAGAAACCATCAGTCACTACTCTTCACTACTCTTCAGTAAAAGAGTATAAGAGCACAAAAACAAGGAAAAACAGACAGTAATGGCTAAAGTGATATTTAAGCATGCTTCGCTTTGTCTAAATTGTTGGGAAAAATACGCTGAAATTTCCATGAAGTCGGATCTATAAAAGTGAAATAAAAAAAAAAAATTGGACACACCAAATTGATAACGGAGTTCGGCCAATACTGCCTACGTCTCCGGACTACTGCAGATATTTTATTGGGAAAAAAAAAATACACTCGTGTTTACAAAACACTCGTAAACTCACTCACAACTCACAACTCAAAAATACACAAAAGCTAAATTTTTATTAGCTCTTTCTCTCTCTCTTTTCTTTCTGTATTTTTGTTGTGGTGTTTTTGCTTCAAAATTGTGCTCCTATTTATAGCTGAAAAATTGGTGCAAAAATTCAACGAATTCTGCACCGTAATTTTAACTGATTTAATGCTGCCACCATGCAGCCTCCATTTTTAATGCTGCCACCAAATTTAATGCAAGCCCACATTGTCAACAAAAGGCTGCTTGCAAAAGAAAATGGGCGGCCCCCAATTTTTAACTTCACAATCTCCCACTTGAGGACTGATTTCAATCTGTCCTCACACTTTAATTACTGCAGCAGTCTTCTCCGGTCTGTTACTCTAGCAGGCCAACTGAAGTTGAGCACAACTTCAGCTTGTCAATGGTCACCACTTTCGTTAGCATATCTGCTGGGTTCTTGCTTCCTACAATCTTCTTCAAAGTCAACACTTCATCCTCAAGAAGAGATCTGATGAAATGATATCGTATGTCAATGTGCTTAGTTCTGGAGTGAAACACTGAGTTCTTTGCCAGATGTATTGCACTCTGACTGTCACTGTGCAAGACACTCTCTTTTTGAGTGAAACCCAACTCTGCTAACAATCCTTGAAGCCATATCAATTCTTTACTGGCTTCTGTTACTGCTACATACTCAGCCTCTGTAGTGGATAGAGCAACAATCTTTTGTATCCGCGACATCCAACTAACAGCTGTAGCTCCGACAGTGAAAACGTAACCGGTGGTGCTTCTTCGGTGATCAACTTCACCTCCGAAGTCTGCGTCTACGTAGCCCTGTAACTTTAGATCTCCTTTTCTAAAATACAGACACTTTTCTGTTGTGCCTAGTAGATATCTCAAAATCCATTTGACTGCTTCCCAGTGAGTTTTTCCTGGTTTTGACATAAACCTGCTCACAACTCCCACTGCATGACCAATGTCTGGCCTCGTACAGACCATCGCGTACATCAAACTTCCAATGGCTGAAGCATAAGGAATCTTAGCCATAAACTCTTCTTCTTCCTTTGTTTGAGGAGACTGGTCATTGGATAGACGAAAATGGTTGGCCAAAGGTGTACTGACTGGTTTGGCCTTGTCCATGTTAAATCTCTGCAAAACACGGTTGATGTACTCTGCTTGAGATAACTGCAAAACTCCCTTTTGCTTATCTCTCGTGATTTGCATTCCAAGAATCTTCTTTGCTGGGCCTAAGTCCTTCATGTCAAATTCTTTTGACAGCTGCATCTTCAATTTTCTGATGTCTTTCATATTTGATCCCGCTACTAGCATGTCATCGACATAAAGTAGTAATATGATATAGCTGGACTCATATTTCTTGAAGAAACAACAGTGATCAGCATTGCACTTCTGTAATCCTTCCTTGTGCATGAAGCTCTCAAACTTCCTATACCACTGTCTTGGAGCTTGTTTCAGGCCGTACAAGCTCTTCTTCAATCTGCACACCATATCCTTCTTTCCGTTTGAAAAACCTTCAGGCTGGTGCATATAGATCTCCTCGTCTAGGTCTCCGTGAAGAAATGCAGTCTTCACGTCTAACTGCTCTAGATAGAGCTCTTCACTAGCCACAATACTTAACACAGTCCTGATAGTATTGAGCTTTACAACTGGAGCAAAGATTTCAGTGTAGTCAACTCCTTCTTTCTGCTGAAATCCTTTGACAACCAGTCGGGCTTTGTATCTCCTGGAACCATCATGGTCTTCCTTCACCCGATACACCCATTTGTTGTGAAGTGCTTTCTTTCCCATGGGTAACTTGACTAGTTCCCATGTCTGATTTGAGATCAAGGACTTCATCTCGTCCTTCATGGCAAGCTCCCACTTGCTAGCATCCGGGGTTTGACAAGCCTCCCGATAATCTTCAGGTTCTCCTCCATCAGTCAACAACATTTAGTCCATGTATCTCCTGTTAGGCACATGGGGCCGAGAGGACCTTCTCAATACAGGAGTTGGAGTAGAAGGTTCTGATTGCTCACCGCTTTCTTCATTTGATTCCTCTGACGGAGGATTCCTTACTATAGGAATGTCTGGGATATCTTCCACCTCTGCATAAACTGGCCCACTCGCTTCTGAGTTGCTGGCACTTCTGTTATGCCGGTCCTTGTATATCACTCTTTCATTAAAGATGACATCTCTGCTGCGGATCATCTTTTTGTTTTCATCATCCCATAAGCGGTAGTCAAACTCATCTTCACCATAACCAAGGAAAGTACATTTCTTTGATTTTGGATCAAGTTTGTTTCTCTACTTTGATCACTGATGTGCACGTATGCTACACACCCAAAAACTCTAAGATGTGAGAGTTTTACTTCTTTTTCGCTCCATACCTCTTCTGGTAACTTGTGATCCAGTGGTACCGATGGACTTCGGTTGATCAAGTAAGTTGCTGTGTTGACTGCTTCTGCCCAAAACTGCTTTTGTAGGCTTGACTGCACACGCAAGCTTCTGGCTCTTTCAGTCAACGTTCGATTCATACGCTCAGCTACACCATTGTGTTGAGGCGTACCAGGCACGGTTCTCTCCATTCTGATCTCGTGCTCATAGCAAAACTTCTTGAATCAGGTGGTTACGTATTCACCACCATTGTCGGATCTGAGCTTCTTGATCTTTAAGCCTGTCTCATTTTCCACCATAGCTTTCCAAATCTTGAAAGCTTCAAATACTTCTGACTTGTGTTTCAGAAAGTAAACCCATACTTTTCTGGAGTGATCATCGATAAAGGTCACGAAGTATTGCTTCCCACTACTAGATGGGACAGTCGTTGGGCCCCAAACATCTGAGTGGATGAGCTCAAGCTTCTCCTTCTTTGGGGTTCTTCTACTTGTCTGAAAGCTGACTCTTTTATGCTTTCCAAGTATACAATCTTCACACATGTCAATTTCTATTGACTGAAGGCCTGGTAATTTTCCTTTTGAGTGAATGATCTTCATCCCCTTTTCACTCATATGCCCAAGTCTTTGGTGCCATAGATTGAGACTTTCTTTTGCTGCAACTGCAATCAGATGACATGCTCTTGTTGTCTTGTAAAGAGTACCACTCTTTTTGCCTCGAGCAATTGTCATCGCACCCTTTGAAATCTTCCAATCGTCTCCGTGGAAGATTGTCGTGTAGCCTTCACTGGCTAGCTGGCCCACCGAGATTAAATTCTTCGTTAGGTCGGGAATATGTCTTACGTTTTTCAATTCCCATACAGACCCGTTCAACTTGATTTTTATCGCACCTTTGCCTACAACCTCACATGATTGCTCATTACCAAGGTAAATTTTACCAAGATTTCCAGGAACATAGTTTTCGAATAGTTCCTTTTGTGAGTTAGCATGAAAGGATGCTCCAGAGTCTAACACCCAGGACTCTTCTCTGTTCTCCAAAGAACATATCAGCAAGTCTACTGAAGCAACATTTGCCTCTTCTTTTGCCTCTTCTTTTGCCTCATGGTTCTTTGGTGCCAGGGGCGGATCTAGAAAAATAAATTGGGGGGTCAATTTTTTTTTTTTTTAATGACGCATACTTAACAACAAAGACATAAAGTTGTAATTTTGGAATTAAAAAAATAAGGTTGCAACAAAAAAAATACATATCTTTCAAACTTCATTTCTATTAGATTTTAACTCGACGTTCTTTCAAGTTACTAAACCCATCAATGATTGACTCGATACTAATAGATCTTGCAATTTCAATGAAGATAGTTAAAGATTTTAGAAGAAGGGTATAGGAAATTCCTCTTTTACCTTCCTCAATTTGATCATGTTTTCTCTTAAAAAATGAGTCAATTGTTGATGACTTCACCATACCCTGAAAATAAAAAAAAATATATGAATATTAATATTGAAAAGATATAAGCAATTCTAGATATAAAAAGTGATTTTTTAAAAAAGAAGAAGAAAACCAAATTGGCCAAAGACACATAGCAATAGGAATTAGGATATGTATATTTGTTTAAAGATAAGTTGGCAGCAACAAGTACACAAACATCCTCATGATTCATAAATAAAAACATACTATAGATTTTCAAGGATGGCAAAACACTTCTTCTATTTGCACCACTATATACGTGGGAGCCCTGGAGGACTCCACATTTTTTTTTACAAGAAATCAAACTTAATGCAAACTACTTAACAATCATTGAATTGCTTTTTAGTACTTTTTTTGAATGAGGCTGGAAGAGAAAAGGAATTGAGGAAACCTCATACATTCAACTTATTAGAACCTAAATGGCTCAAAAGGAACAAATAGATAATATAAGAAATAAAGATATAAACAAAAGTACTTTCAATTTATTATCCAATGGAGATGAATGCTCAAAAAAATTTTCCGATTTGTTCGCTCAGTGCTCGTTCAGTCGGTCATGTCTTCCTCTCAAAATTTTCTCAAATTTTCAATGGCCGACGAGAAGTGTCGACTTCTTTTGCCTTATTTGTTTAATGGTTTAAAGAATAATTAACTAACTTAATTTGGTATATTATATATTATATTTGCTTATTAAAGGAAAAGTTGGATAAGTGGTATCATGTGCCTGACAAATTGATTCTGTTTCTAACTTTCTATACTTTCTATTTAATATATCATTACTGTAATTTATATTTTTGGGGGTAAGTAAATATACATAATATTATACATTACATATACATTAGTACTAAAAAAAAAAAGTTTGGGGGGACCATGGCCCCCCCTACAATATATGTAGGTCCGCCTCTGTTTGGTGCACTCCTGCACTGGTTTTTGTAGTGCCCGGTCTTCCCACAATTTCAGCACTCGATCGACTTCGAGTTTTGGGAATTACGATGATTTCTGGACTTGGACCTCCTTCCCTTTGATTTGTTGTGCCTGCTTTCTTTGGTTGAACTTCTTCCTCTTGACTCTGTATGCAATACAGAAGAGGTCGATGATTCACCCGATTCCCTCCGTCGGATCTGCTTCCCGACGAGCTACTCATAGCTGTGACTGTAGCATTCCAGCTTTCTGGTAGGGAAGACAAAAGTATTAAAGCCCGTACTTCATCATCGAACTCGATCTCAACTGAACTCGTTAGGGTTGTAACGGTGTTGAGCTCATTGAGATGATGCGCCACTGGAGCACCTTCGGTCATCCGTAGGTTGAACAATCGCCTCATCAAATGAACTTTATTTGAGGCAGATGGTTTCTCGTACATATTGGAAAGAGCCTTCATGAGGCCTGCCGTCGACTTTTCTTTTGCAATGTTAAAAGCAACATTACGGGATAACGTCTGGCTCCAAGAGCTTGTCTGTCAAGGAGACTCCATTCTTCTTCCTTCATGTCTTCTGGCTTCTTTCCCGTGAGTGGTTGATACATATTCTTCTGGTACAGATAATCCTCGATCTGCATCTTCCAGAAGCCAAAGTCCGCACCATCGAACTTTTCGATTTTCATTTTTCCTTCATCTGCAGCCATCACTTCGTCTCTGATCTGACTTCTCTGCCGGATCGTTTCTGTAACTTTTGTGAACTACCGTGTTTCAGAACACGTCGGTAGATAAATTTGTAGCGCCGACAAATTTGGCACTATTCCCTTTTTCACTATTCACGGAATAGTAACCGACAAAAAAAAAATACAGAATTAACAATCTGGCTCTGATACCAGTTGTTGGGAAAAATACGTTGAAATTTCCATGAAGTCGGATCTATAAAAGTGAAATAAAAGAGAAAAATTAGACACACCAAATTGATAACGGAGTTCGGCCAATACTGCCTACGTCTCCGGACTACTGCAGATATTTTATTGGGAAAAAGAAATACACTCGTGTTTACAAAACACTCGTAAACTCACTCACAACTCACAACTCAAAAATACACAAAAACTAAATTTTTATTAGCTCTTTCTCTCTCTTTTCTTTCTGTATTTTTGTTGTGGTGTTTTTGCTTCAAAATTGTGCTCCTATTTATAGCTGAAAAATTGGTGCAAAAATTCAACGAATTCTGCACCGTAATTTTAACTGATTTAATGCTGCCACCATGCAGCCTCCATTTTTAATGCTGCCACCAAATTTAATGCAAGCCCACATTGTCAACAAAAGGCTGCTTGCAAAAGAAAATGGGCGGCCCCCAATTTTTGACTTCACATAAATCACTAAGCCCCAGCATTTCTCTTAACATTTCTGTTGATGACTTCATTTATTTGAAGTTCTTCTTGAAGAAATCCATTTCTATGCAAAAATATAACCTTCTGAATATCTTTGTAAAGTTTAGGGTTTTCCTGGTGAGCCTATGGTTGGTCAAGGAACTCTGCATTTGTAATTTTGTGTCAAAAACAGCCATTAGGGCTTTAGAAGAGACGTCTTCCATGCATAAATGGAAACGTCGTCATGTTTTGGCAATGGCATTTTTGTTGCGAGTTTCATCCAAGAAGGATTTATACAAACCAAACCAATTACTCAATCATTCTTTAATTTAGCAGTTGATAACCTTAATACCTATTTGAAGACATTCGCCACTACCCATGTTTTGGTGATTAACTTTGTTTTTTGTGCTTTATTATTCCATTGTTATTTATCAACTATCCCCATCATAATTCCATTTTCTGTTCTTTTATTCCGCACAGCTGAAAAGTTTAGGCTACTGGTCGGGGAGGAGGCCGCATCAAAAAGCGGGAAGTTTACTTTATTGAACTGTTTTGATGGTAGTTCTGGAACTCTTGCATGTGTAGTCAAAGAGGGCGTAAAACTCTATTTCTACAACATTCGGACACTTCACGTGGAAAGCAGAAGGAATCAAGCCATCGAGGCTGCCCTGGCCGATGCTGTCTCTCAAGGCCTGGCCGCAAAAGACGCTGCCAAGGTGGCCCAGAAGGAAGGTGCAAAGGCTGCAAAACTGGCAACGAGAAAAGCCAAGCGCATAATTGGGCCCATTATTTCTTCCGGGTGGGATTTTTTTGAGGCTATTTACTTCGGGGGCACCATAACAGAAGGTTTCCTTAGGGGCACGGGAACTTTGTTTGGAACCTACTATGTGGGGTTCATTGCTGAGGAGAGGTTTGGAAGGTTTGGGTATTTGGTTGGGAGCCATTTGGGGAGTTGGCTCGGTGGCCGGATTGGGCTCATGGTTTATGACATTGTCAGTGGCGTTCACTACATGATGGAGGGTCTGCCAGGGGAAACTCGAATTTACGAAGAAGCCGATTATCTTGAAAAGACTGATGCAGGTGATGAGAATTTTGAATCAATGTGGAGTGGTGATTCTCGTGGGTCGAGTGAATACGAGGCTCCAGCTGATGGGGGCTTTGGATCAGCATGGGATGGTAGTAATCCTGATGAGTCGAGAAATTACGAGGCTTCTGCCGATGAGACCTTTATTTCCCCTGAAGAATTATAATCTTGTCAAATGAGGTTAAATTTTTCTATTCTACTTTCTAAACTTTACAAAAAATGTTAGACATAATAGTGTTCTTTTTTTTACTCGCTTAGCATACTATAAAGAACGATAGTTTTTGTATGTGTTATGGGATTGTCAACTGTGCATGGTAGTATTCTAATTGTTCATCTTATGACAAGGGGATACTCGTTCATTCTTCATTCCGTACAACTAAAGTTCGTGGTGTTTGCGGTTGATCAGAACCTGTAATTCTATAGGCCCCTGTTTGTTTTGTAGGATTAGGCAGGATATCCCGTCTAATCCTGCGTTTGGCGCTGGACTAAGGCCCGTAGGATTGGTTAGGCCCGGTATAAAAAAGTGAATTATCCCATGAAATCAGGATAATTGAATCCCATCATTTACATGGGATTAATCCAATCCTAGGAAGCTAAAGTCGAATTTACCCTCGTTTTAATCATTTTTGGACAGTTTTGACCTTCTGTATAACACAAATTACAAGCAGAAACCTAACATCAGTTTACGCATTTTTTTTTTT